TTCTGATCCACATAAAATAATAAAAATTTGTTATCATCAATTAAAATACGCTCTCCCAAAAATAATTGGTGACAATATAATTAATTATATTTGAAAAATAATTATTTTACACAGTGAGTCTTGGTATAGCGGACCTCAGTATTTGGGGGTTTAGCAGATAAATTTTCAAAACCAAATTTTTCTATAACAATTTTATCTTGGTTTAACAGAGCATAATGGACATCCTATTTATCACAAAGTGACAAAATTGAACATTGATCTTTTTTATATTGTGAAACAGAAATTTTCAATTATTTTAAAGTAAAAAAAAAGAGGAATATCGGTACATAAAAACTAATGCACCTTGCATATTATTTTTTTATATTGATAAGTTGTTTATTCTTTTCTTTATGTTTGGGCAAAATAAAGATCCTCAGATCTTGGTCCTATCAAAAACTAGATGAGAAACAAAAATTTTAAGGTGCATAACATAATAGTAGCATAGTGGGTCATAAGTAACATGACTAAAATACATTATATCAACAAAGAATGTTTTGCAAGAACATACCTTCCTTTGAAAGCCTTTTTTGGTTAAAAATAACCCAGTTAATCCAGCAGATTGCAAGATCTAAATAAGAGGTAAAAATTCCAAAAAGTATATATATTTTTTACCAAGGTGCGCAAAAATTAATTCAATTACACTTATTCTTTTTCATTTATTTCTTTAGAAATAAAGGTAATTGTGCTAGAGCAACACATACATACATATTATTTATTACATATTGGGATAATAATAAGTACATAATAAAAAAATGCTATTTATACAAGACATAAAAGGTAGTCATAAATGTATACATATATATTATTTTTTTTTTTATTTATTACATATCGGAAAGTAGATACTAATAAACATTATTTATACATTGGTTGACTTGAGACATAAAAGGTAGTCGTAAATGTATTATTTTTTTTATTTTTTACATATTAGATAAGTACACACTAATAAAAAACATTATTTATGAATTGATAGATGTTGGCCTTGTTTCTATTGTCCACACCTCAAATAAGATAAATAAAAATTTGCTTCCAATATATACTTGATAAACTTGCACACTTTTTTATAATGGGTTAAATGTTGGTTAGCAAGACACATGCAAGGATTTATTTAGTTGAAGCTTCATAAAAAATAAAAAATAAAATTCTTTTTTTTTCTTTAAAATTTTGTGTAATTTATTTGGGCCAATCAAATTTGCTTTTTTGCGTGATAAAATCAAAATATGATCAACGAAAATCATTACCAATTATAAGGATGTCCACTAAGCATGGTGGACATTCTTTGTTGTCACATTTGTGCAACGATCAACAAAACAATTTTATCACTTAATGTAATGCAAAATTAATTATTTTTGATTGGCTAAATCAAATAAATATAATTTTTATTAACTAAAAATGATGAAAATTGTATATTGCCATATTTAATTTTTGATCTAAACTTCTATCAATATTCAAGTCATTACCAAAATCACTAAAAGAAACATCATCTACTTCATTTTCATTTACTTCTATATTTAAATCATCCTCATTTAAATCATCTTCAAGTATTGATGCACTTGTATTTTCTAATCTTTCATTATATGAATTGCTTAAATCTTGTAATCCATTTATAAAATATTCAAGACAATATTGACATCTAAAATCCAGTTTTTGAAAACATTCATAATGATATGCATGACCACATATCAATACACAATCATTACTTTGATTTTCATTTTGTTTAATATTGCAATGTTCATAATCACAAAAGATCCTACTATTGGGTGGATTTGAGGTATGATATCCTGATGGTAATGCTTCCATTTGAACCTCAATATTAAAAGTAGATAATAAATAATTTTTCTGCTCTTTTGATGGAGGATTAATGTTATCTGAATTTGCCCAAATTTTTTGAAAGAAATCTAAGAGAAATAATGCAGATTTTTTTGTCATTGTATCAATTTTTTTTTTTTGTATATGGATATTTCTTTGTTAATAAAAATGGTTTTATAAATTCAGAATCATGTCTGTTATTGTCTATATTAATAGCATCATCTCTTAATCCTTCTGGGTTAAAATTTTTTCCTGATGTTCTTTGACGGATCAAACTATGAAAATTTTCTACAAAATATTCATTAAATTCAGATAAATGATCTTGAAGGATATTATACATTGGATGTTCAATTGTTTGCCAATAAAAAATATCTGAAAGAAAGGCTAACATAATTTTATCATAGTTTTTTCTGCCAAATTTTTTCATAAATGTCCATAACCGAAAAATTGTTTCTATATATTGCTCAAAATGACCTTCTCTGAATAGAACAGCATAAACATCTAATGCAGCTGGCATACAATTGTCCAATAAATCCAAAA